CTTTGAGTGATTCTAAGACGAAAAGTTCATGTAAACATAGGTCCGGAAATGCTCCGTTTTCACCTTACAGGGTCATAAAGTATAGGGTACGTATACAATGTATACTATACATGCAATAAAGCTATTTTTATTTTTTCTCAAAAACGAAGCAATATACGAAAAATATGCTAGAAATAAAAAAGTTGTATTTTAGTTGCTTAATGTGAAAATAATATAAAAATTGCAAAAAAGTCAGTGGCGCACATTTTTTTGTAAAGAATATTGATTCAGGTGTCTTCGGGGACGCCACTGCACTTAATAATTTTAATCTAGTTAGGGCTAAATTAGCCCCTACTACACTTAATAACACTATTAAATTTCAACAAAATCGGCTAAATTATTATTGAGATATTTGGGAAAAAACGATTTTTTTTTTGACACACTGTAAGTTGTACAGAAAAAGTTGACAAACTAACACCGAAAATTTTAAGAGCCGGTATAAGAGGTTCCTGAAACCAATTTTGATTAATCAATTTCTGTACGCCAGAGCCACACCGTATTAGGTCCAGTTTTTTAAAATCACGTTATATATTATTTGCATACTTTTTTCCGCACAGGATACCATTGGTAAGAGCGGTAAAACGTAGGCAAAAATTTGTATGATTTTAAATAATCTAAAATGGTGTTTATAAAAATTTCTAGACACTAATTTATATTAAAAACTCGCTAGCAAGCTTGGCTTGTGCCTAATTAAAGTTCGTTACTAAAATGGCATTTATTAAACTTTTTTATATATGTATATAAACATTTGTTAGCTCTTGAGTTAAGTATTTAAAACTTTTCATTTCTATGTTTATTTTTCACCCTATACAATAACTTATACTTATGTAAAACCTTACAGCGATATTTGTTTTTTAATTAAAAAACGCGAGTTTATCTTGGATTACTGAAAAATATTTATTACCAAAATGCATTATCTTGCACAATGCAGCAGAAAATGAGCATTTCAAAAGTTAATTTTCCACCTACATCTGTAAAAAGTAGGTTTAAGTCTTGTAAAAGTTGTAAAAGAAAACCGTTTTTTTATTTTAATTTATTGCCACAAGTTCTCAACTGAAATTAAAAAATAGATGGGATTTATTTAAATATAGAAAAGCAGACACTTTTACACCCATCATATTGTTATCTTATTTATAAAACAAATGTTTTTTCCTATATCACTGTTATAATAATAGTGTGGTAAAATTTTACCGATACATTTTTTAAATTTTATACGAAACTTTATTTCTTGGAAATTTTACAAGTGGCATTAGTTTTATAATAATTAATGCCACGAGCTAGACCAAAAACTTGAGCAAATAAAAATTTTACTATTAAAAATTAACATGTTTTTACAATGGGGTTAAACTTTGATTAAATTTATATTCTGTCCAAAACCAATGTTCTTGATTACCAAAGTAATAACAGTGGAGAGTTATGAAGGCCCTCATAATAATATTAATAATAATAAGTAAGTGTCAATAAACTGCATTTATTAAACAAAAAACACTAAAAACATAATTGGCAAATAGACCTCACCGTATTGTTTATGATTAAGACGATTAATATTAAAATATTGTTTAAAACTTTTGATTGTGTTGTTTCACAAGGATAATGCAGTGTGATCTAAAACGAGTGCTGTTGTGTGTGAAGCAGGTCCTTTGGGAAGGCCCTGTTTACCCGGAATGAATTGTTTTCAAGCATGTCTCATTTTATGCAGTTTTGATCTTTACAAACTAAAGCCGATTTTTATGTTAAAATTAGTAATTTTGTATTTAGTTTTAAGCATTTGTAGCTTTTACTTTACTTGTTATAAAAACAAATCAAATAAGGAAGCTGAGGTCGAGAGATGAATTTTTGACAGTTATTTACAATTTTTGTAATTTTTTTATTTTTTAACGTTTTTAACTCGGTATTACCTTGTATAAAAATATTGGATATTTTATAAGATGTTAACCTAAATTGTTTTTACGTAATGACCTAATTATCTGGAGATAAGAACGTGAATAACCTTTATTAAATATATTAATTTTAGAATATTTAATAAATATATGTACATACATACTCAAAATAAATTCATATTATTATTATTATATTTATTAAATCGTTTTGACAAAATTATCGTTTAGAAATAAATTTGTATTTTCGTTTTTTGCATTTTAAACAGTTAAATTAATTGCTTTGTAAAGTATTGCACATTAAAATTTATACTATACATAATATATATTTATATATAATATACAGGGTGATCTATAACTAGTGTAAGAAACTAGAGACAAAATACTTAAAAATAAGTCTTAATCAAGATAAAACGATCTTAAAAATACTACAGGATCCAAGTATTTTTTATGGCATACTAATTAAAGTTCTTGACTACTTTATGGATTTTAAGTTTTGTACTCTCACCAGTGGCGTCAGCACTAGATGGGGGGATAACATTTATTACCAAAACTATGTTACGCTACTGGCTTATACAGATATGTTTCACAAAATCTGAATCTTTATTCTATTTACAATGGAAATTGTCTCTTTAATTAATTTAAACCAAGTATTGGAAAATAATAAACTTATAAACATTTTTGAGAAATAGTATATTATGTATCAAGTTTGATAAACGCCATTTTATACACGCAAGCGAGCTTGCGAGCGAGTGGTTAAATTAATGAGTGTATAGAAAAGTTTATAAACGAGGTGCACACCATACTTTTTCTACGACAAATACTTATTATTATCTTAAAATGATTTAAATCAAAAATTTGTATAGAGCGCCATCTATGAAACAATAGGGGAATCTGTGTGTCACCGTCAAATGTCAAATTTTTGTATTTTATAAACAAAGAATATAAAGGTTATAAATCGAAATGTATTTCTTGAAAATTGACAGTTTTTCACAGTGAAAGTAAAGAAAATGTTTACTTTACAGTGGAGTCCGTGCCCGAATTTAAGTTATAGTTTACTGCCGGCGATATTAAAAGGTCAGTACAATGTTCATATAAACTTTTCAAATATTGGCGTTGAGAAACTATTTATTTTTGTATTGAGATAATACATTTTCACATTTAGTATTATTTTACAAGAAAGGCACTTTATTTTAACGATTGTATGACATTTGACAACTGTCAACTAACTTAAAACTAACTTCAGCCCGTGAATAAAAACCTGTTGCTAACTTCAGCCCGTGACTAAAGCGCCATAAAGCCACAACTTGTCAATGTGTATTTAAAAGGTGTCATGGAAACATGTACGATAAAGGGCGTTTTAAAGGTGGGAGTAGAAAAAATTCATTTGTTTACTTAAAATGTGCGAAAGAACATTTCTGCACTGTTTGATTAAAAAATCAGTATCTTATCTTACTTCAAATTTTTTAAATGCTGATTTTGCCCTGTTTTACACATAGAATTTGAATTTTTTTTAAGTACTGAGAAGATTTAGAAACCATTTTAACTTCTTTGTAGGTTAATGATAAAAGCACGGTGGACTAAAATGGTAAAAAATTTAAAAAATATCATTTGGAAATTTTAACACCATACTTTTCTGGAATTAATTATTATCCTGTAGAAATTTAAATGATTAAAGTCTTGTTAAAGTAGAAATTAAATTATTGTAAAAACAATTTAAAAAGCCATTATAAAACTTACGTGTTGTTTGTGCTATTCCTGTAAGTTAAACAGTTAAAGCAGTGCTACTGAACTTTTAAAAAATCAAGGTTATTAACACACAAAACTTCAAACTTTATAAAAATACAATAAATAGTTTACAAAATAATATTTTTGATCTACTTTAACAAGAATTTTATATTTCAACTAGTATAAAATCGCTGCTATTAAGCCAATTATATTAAAATTTGTACAGACTCAATATAATTCAAAAATAAAAATTGTGTTAAAAGTTAATAACGCTATTTAAGTAGTTTTAAAAATTATTTAAATTTTAACTTACTCTAACAAGATTTTAATTATTTATACACCTATAAAATCGCCGCCACTGTGACAATTTAATTACAATTTGTACAGGATCTGGATTAATATCACAAAATTATGTTGTTAAAATTTTATAGTAGTATTCTAATTTTTATTTTTTTAATTTAATGCTAAATAAAAAAAATAATATTTCATGCATAGAGGGCAAAATGGGCATTTGTTTATAAAAATGGCACGATAATGAAAAAGTTCTTGGTTCTAATTTTCATTATAACGTTAAAAATTAGGTTTATTTAGTAAATTTAAAATATAAAACAAAAGGCAAAGTTTAAAATATAAAAAAGAAATATTTTTAGTGGCGCATGTATGCCACTAAGTAACTCACAAACTCAATTTTTTAGAGTTTAAAAGTTCTTAAAGAAAAAGTAATTGTTTTGACTACCTGTAACTAACGGAAACCCGCACGTGGACAAAAATACATATTTTTTACCATTTAATTTTTACCCAATCTTTATGCTACACCCTGTAATCATTACTACAGTGTAATGTATTGCAAAGACAAAAAATAAATGAATATAAACTTTTTTAATTTTTCCTAAACAATGGCTTGTAAAATAGTTAAAACATTTATAATGTCTCCTTCTATAAAGGCACCGTTCTTAAATCTGATTTATAGAAATATAATTAGATTTATAAATTGTTTGCAAAAAAATATAGCGATAGTTTTTTAATAAAAAATATTTTTTAGTAGATTTTGCAGATTAGTAAAAAACAGAAAAATTGGATATTTAAACAATATAATTTTAAAAAAGATTATTCAAAAAATAAGAATTGGATGTAAGTAAAAAAAGATTAATAATATTAATACTTGACTATTATATAATTAACAAAATTAAAAGTAGTTCACTTTTAAAAGAATTTCCCGATTTTAATATTTATAAAAAAAGTTTTTAATTGTCAATTATTTTATAAAATTATATCAAAAAATCAACTTAATTTCAAAAATTGTAAAAGTGTTAAACATGCAAAACTGTGGTAGAAAAAGTTAAGTTTGGTACTCACCGCAAAGTTATCACTTGCGCCTAACCTCGGCTTCTTCGCTGCCTTGGCAGTCGGTATCAACAGGCGATAAAATTGTCAGGATCAAAACGGCAGGATAACGCTCCTTTATCCCGTTATTGCGCCTACATAGCGCTACATCGCTGGGAGGGTGGTGGGGAACCGGCCACCACCATTGGCCATCCTACTGCATTTTCTTAGGACATATCGTCACCTTATTACATGCATAGTTAATAATAATATAGAAATATTTCACCCAAATATTTATCCTTTTCTTTCACCTTTAATACATTTTTAATATATACGTATAGTACCTATACAATAATGTATATTATTATTGTTTGTTTTAATTACATGAAATTTAATAAAATTTTCAAAATATAACAGACCCTTAAAATTAAACATTAACCTAGAGCTCGTTTTCCCAAGATATTTCAGATTTAAGTGTGAGTAATTATTTGACACTTAAGGAATATTATTTATTTAAAATTTATATATGCCGTTGTTTTAAGGATTTTAGTTTTTTTCTTATAAATATATAAAAAGGATAGTTTGTTTAAACTTTATTTACTTTTACTTAAAAATAAGAATATTTGAATTTTTAATAATAGTTTTATAAAAACATGCAAAAAAGTATAGTAATTGGACATTTTATATAGTAATTGGACACGTGGACCATAGTTATTGGACATACAATTTTTATATAAACATAACAACTTTACAACAAATAAACAAATTGTTAAATATTTTTTAAAGATAAATTGCTGTTTTCATATATTTCTTTCTCGGATTCCTAATCCCTTTTCTGGATTTTGAAGGTAACTACTAATTCCTTGGTCTGACTTCTGAAATAGTTTGTTGCAAATATCATTAAGTTGTGAAGCATTTATAATGTTTAGGCCGGAACACGATGATTTATATATATCTAATATTTTTTCGGGTGGCATGTTAAAAGAATTTTCCGAATTTATTAATTTTGTTGCCATTTGTTTTTTATGTTCTCTATCATGCACTGTATTTAAATCACTGTTATTCTGCAAGATGTCCTGTGACGAAGAAATCACTATATTACTTACTCTCTAAAAATGAATTAGTCAAAAATGTCATAGCGAAAAAGCAGCCACTAATAATTCTCGTCAACAGCAATTTGTATCCAGAACATTTAGCAGTCAATTCCTATGAAATATTATACGCTGAATCCGAAAATGTCGTCATAAAAGTAGAACAGTTTTTGAAATATAATCAATTTTACTTAATATGGAATTGACTATATCTCAAAAACTGCTTAACTTTTTGACGGTCTTTTCGGATTCAGGGGACAATTTTACATAATAATTGGCTGTTAAATGTACGGAATACAAATAGAGTATGCTATTGGACAAATGCCCAATAATAGAAATTTACATTTTACTGTTTGTCAGAATTAAAATTAAAACGCATTAAAGTGACAATGTTTAAACCATGAGAAACACATTTATACCTCACACTGATCTGTACACCATTTAGAAATATATTTTATTGTAATTTAAACACAGCCCTGTTCTTAACAAAAGAAATAAAATCTTACCACCAATAACGTGCGAACTTATTATTATTATTTTTTTTGCATGTAAATTTTAAATTTATCTAAATAAAAACTCTGATGCTGTGTTATTATTTTCTAATGCGGGAATGTCAATGAAAAAACTTTTATTATGAAATTTAAAAAAAAACGAATTTTATAATCAAATAAACAGAGTGTTCAGAAATTAAGAGAGAAGTACCTTTATTTATTATTTTATAGATTTTTTTTTATAAAAAACAGTCGACAATTCAAATATTCAAACATAAAATTAAAAGATTTTGTGTATTTTTTATTTAAACTAAGTTTAAAAAAATTTGAAACCCATTGATTTTGGTTTTGCTTCTAAAAATGTTAAATAAAAATAATAGTCGGAACAATAAAATATTTCTAAGTTTTCTAAGCACCCTGTGGATTTGATTCAATTTTTTATAGGAAACTCATTTGTTAAGTAAGTAGAAAGTTTAATGAAAAATAATTTTTTTTTTCGTAAAATGCATACCTACCTAATTAAAAAGTTTTTCTATTGGCAACCCAAAGGGGACTCTCTCAATCTTCAAAATGCATTAAAACGCATCATAATTCTCAAGTTTAAATAAACTCGATTGTTTCGGCCGATTCCAGGAACGGATCAAAATTAATTTAATTAAATAAAAGAAATTAAAAATGCGAAAAATCGATCAAAAAGTGGCCAAAAATGAAAAACAATGAATTGTATCTGCCTCAAAATGAACGATTAACATTCTTAAAGTTGAATATTAATAAATTAAAAATAAATAAAGACAAATAAATACAGACCATAAAGTAAAAAAATCCGACTTTAAAACAATTTTTATTTTATTTTATGGTTTAAGTTAAGTATTAAGTATACGAAAAAACATCGTTTTTACTGCGTACAAAAAGTAAGTTTTCTATCTCATCTATTTTCAACACACACGGGCTGAAGTTAGGTAGATTTTAGTTAAAATAGTTGTCAGATGTCAATTAAAATTCCTTGGGATAGTTGAATAAAATATTATGTGCGAGTATTGGTCAAAAGAGCAGTTTCCACTCGCGTAGCTGGGAAGTGAGACTTTTGTGCTAAGCTCAAAGTTTGAAGACCGACGCGTAGCGGAGGCCTTCAATAGAGCAAACTTTATGTTTAATACATACAAGGGCATTGGTGATTGATCACTTTCAATAGTCACTGTCATTTAAATCAATCGGGTTTTAAATTGGGAAAAAGTAAGGTTGGAACTGTCCAACAGATATCAGATTTTTATACATACACAGTGTGTCCACCGATTGACTTAATTATAGGTACTTGTAAAAATATTTATTTTCGATTTTTCGAAGAAAAGTCACTGCGTATAATTTCTTCTGCTTGTTATATAAATACCATTCACGATGAGAAACTTCTATTTTGTTATACAGGGTGCGCACAAAAAATACAATTGTAGATATTGCAAAATTAAAAATTGTTAAATATTTTTTTTTGAACGTCTAATATGAAGAGCTTGAAGGAGAAACCAACAAGCCAAATAAAGTTTTTTCATGTGAGTTTTTGTTACCAAGATATTTTTTATTAAAAATAAAATCAATCCGGTCCTAACTTGAGTGGTCCTATTATTTTTTAGAAATTGACTGCTATCTCTAAAATTTGAAAACTAGTATCTTAAATTTTCAATATCAAATATCTTAGTATCAAAAACTCATATGAAAAAACTTAATTTGACTTTTTGATTTCTCTTTAACATTTATTTATATTGACGCTTCAAATTTTTTTTTTTTTAATTTTTAAATTTTGAAAATCAGCATTTTTACTCACCCTGTACAACAAAATGAATGTTTCTCAACGCGAATCGTTTTTATATAACAAGCAAAAGAAATTATAAAAAATGACTTTTTCTCAAAAAATTTAAAATAAATATTTTTACAAGTATAGTTAAGTCCATCCGTGGACACACTGTATATACAAGGGGCACCTCATCCTTGTAAATAATAGCCTGCCTTATAATGATAAACTATTATTCACTTTTTATTAATTGGTATTAAATTAGTAAAAAAAAATAATAAGTGTATTTTTATAAGAATAAGGCTATACCTACTTTTTCCAATATTATTCCATTTTATTTCTTTATGTACGCTTAATTAATTATTTCGCTAGTCGACCAAAGGATTCAACCTGCATAAAGATTTTTTTTATCAATCATAAACTATAGACACCTATCAACGCACTTTACGTTATTGACATAATCTTAATTAATTTTTTTAATAAAGCTGAACGTATTTTTACCTGCGTATTAAAAGAATGCCATTTTAATATTAATTTCCATTTAATTCTTCTCTCTATCCTTTTTTCCAATAATTAAATTGTGACGTTACAAATTGTTTATTACGAAACAAATTCATTTGCGATTGTTTTAATTGTTTAATTATATTAAAGATTTTAGTACAATTTTTTGCAATTACCACAAATACATATTTAATGACAAATTCAGTGTCAATTAGTTTTTAAACAAACAATGAACCACCGTTCAATCATCATAGTAATGATAAATACTACCGTGGAAAAAAGTAAAATTTCGTGGTCTTATTGAACAGAAACCCGTAGAGAAAGTGATCAATTTCCTTTACAGTTCAAGACTAAATCATTTTCTTAAATAAAACGTATAAGAAAATCGTAAAAAAATTACTAGGTTTATTGTTATAACCATAAAACGTTTTATTTAAGAAAGTGATTACCTACTTTTTTAAATTTGCTTAATAAAAATTTTGCTATGGAGTCAATCCAAATGAAAACACCAAAAATGAATTTAAAAGTGCGCTGCAGAATTTTTTATTTTAATGAAAACATTTGAGGATGATCTTTTAGGTATCATATATGAAAAACCGTTGCCGTTTTAATTTTTAGTTCCTTTATTTTTAATCGGCATCCCTTAGAAACCTGAAATCGTGTCATTTTCTTACTCTCCTCTAAGAGGCTAAAACTTTTTTTCTATGGCAATTGCCATAATTAATTATTGAAATTGACGCGTTTCTCGGAAAAACATCATTAGTCCAAAATTAACATATTTGGGAAAATGAAAAAAACTCTCCGACATTCCCATTTTTGACCAAAGTACTTTATTGACCTATTTACTACATGTAAAAAAATGTAAGATACTTTGTCCAGAATTCCTCATGTTTTTTTTTTCAAACAAATATGAAAAAAACACAAAAAATACATGAACATGTGAGGTTTTTAGAAGAAAAAAACGAACAATTCTCCTTACTACAAACACTACACTACACTACAAACTAAATATTAACTCTGAGCAACAAAATAAATGAAAAAACTAAAAACTGTATTATGGCCACATTCAGTATTCGGATCCACTGCTGTTAGACAACGATGATATCATCTTTGTCGACCGTGTTATCAGGACTGTCAGGTGCTATGGTCTTCTGGTTTTTTATCAAGTTATCATAAAATTTTCTATTGCTGTGGTCATGTAAAAGAGGTAGAAGCTTTT